TGTTGGTGCGTGCGCAACATACACACACATTGGGACGCCGCATGCACGTCAACTGGCTCTTCCCATTCGGATCTCCCGAAGCCCCATGACGTAAACCCAATCCATGTTCGGTGTTTGTGTGCATGTGCGTGGGTGTTGGTGCGTGCACAACATACACACACATTGGGACGCCGCATGCACGTCAACTGGCTCTTCCCATTCGGATCTCCCGAAGCCCCATGACGTAAACCCAATCCATGTTCGGTGTTTGTGTGTAGGTGCGTGGGTGTTGGTGTGTGCACAACATACACGCACATTGGGACGCCGCATGCACGTCAACTGGCTCTTCCCATTCGGATCTCCCGAAGCCCCATGACGTAAACCCAATCCATGTTCGGTGTTTGTGTGTAGGTGCGTGGGTGTTGGTGTGTGCACAACATACACACACATTGGGACGCCGCATGCACGTCAACTGGCTCTTCCCATTCGGATCTCCCGAAGCCCCATGACGTAAACCCAATCCATGTTCGGTGTTTGTGTGTAGGTGCGTGGGTGTTGGTGTGTGCACAACATACACACATTGGGACGCCGCATGCACGTCAACTGGCTCTTCCCATTCGGATCTCCCGAAGCCCCATGACGTAAACCCAATCCATGTTCGGTGTTTGTGTGTAGGTGCGTGGGTGTTGGTGCGTGCACAACATACACACACATTGGGACGCCGCATGCACGTCAACTGGCTCTTCCCATTCGGATCTCCCGAAGCCCCATGACGTAAACCCAATCCATGTTCGGTGTTTGTGTGTAGGTGCGTGGGTGTTGGTGTGTGCACAACATACACACACATTGGGACGCCGCATGCACGTCAACTGGCTCTTCCCATTCGGATCTCCCGAAGCCCCATGACGTAAACCCAATCCATGTTCGGTGTTTGTGTGTAGGTGCGTGGGTGTTGGTGTGTGCACAACATACACACACATTGGGACGCCGCATGCACGTCAACTGGCTCTTCCCATTCGGATCTCCCGAAGCCCCATGACGTAAACCCAATACATGTTCGGTGTTTGTGTGTAATTATGTGCGTGGGTGTTGGTGTGTGTGCGTGCCCCGCTCGGACTGCGCCGCCTCGGGACCCCTTCCCTCTGGCCCCCCTGCCTCTGTTCGGAGGCTCGCGATCGGCCCCCCGCTGCGGCTGGCCGCCGGCCCCCCAGCGCCCCTGGCCCCTCCTCGCGGAGGAGGAGGAGGAGGAGGAGGAGGAGGAGGAGGAGGAGGAGGAGGAGGAGGAGGAGGAGGAGGAGGAGGAGGAGGAGGAGGAGGAGGAGGTGGCTTGCCCCTGCGGCCGCCGCCGGAAAACCGGCGGCGGCCACAGGGCAAGCCAGGGAGGCCTTCGGCGTGCCAGTCGGCCTGTCGCTCGGCCCGCCGGCGACGCGGCCCCGTCGCCCGCGGCCTCTGCGGTCCGCCCGCCGCCACTGCGCGGCCTCGGGCCGCCGGCCCTGGCGCTCTCCCGCCCCCGGGCCTCCGGCTCCCTGCCGGTCCTGGGCCGCAGGTCGGTCGCCGCCTCCGCGCGTCGCTCCACCCTGCTGTTGCCCGCTCCCCCCGCCTCCTGCCAGTGCGCCGGGTGGCTCATGGCACCTCCCCCGCGGCCCCCCCGGCATCCATGCCCGGATGGCTCATGGCGGCGGCTGCTGCGAGACCCTTAGGCCGGTCTCTGAGGGCACGGGCGTTCCTTGACGCGCTCGCGCGCGACTGCTGTTCCAAGACCTTCTCCGCCCCGTCGTTGCGCGCAGGGCCCAGAATACGTGGCGCGGGATAACCCTGCTGTCAGTCGGGTCCAAACTATTAGCTCGAATTGTGGCTTCTCGCCTCTCCCAATGGTCAGAGGGATTTATAGGGGAGGAGCAATCGGGATTCCGCCGGGGCAGAGGGACAGATGATGCGCTTCAAGTTACGCGCCGGTTAATTGAGGAAGCCGCGGCCTTGCGAACGGGCGATATAGTGGTATTCACGTTCTTCGACATTGAAAAGGCATACCCTAGGGTGTGCCGCCCGGCGCTGTGGCGGCTGCTGGGTCACCGTGGATGCCCCCCGGGATTCTTGAACGTCTGCAGAGCCTTACACGAGCATACGGGATACCGAGTGCGTGTGCTAAGTGGCCTCTCCTCCACGTGGTTCCCCTTGCGGGGGCTCCGGGAGGGGTGCCCTTCGAGCCCCCCCTTGTTCAATATTTATCATGACGCGGTACTAAAGGATTTCCGAGGCCGGCGGAAACGGGCGGCTGAGGAGGCAGGAGCCACGCCGGGTGTACCTTGGACGTACCTGATTGATGGGCGGCTCGGGAAGAGCGCGCGGACTAGGGGGCAGGGACGAGGGGAGGGGGGCTGGGCAAATAGACAGAAGCACACGGTAATCGGAGACATAGGTTTCGCAGACGATACGACGCTGGCTGGGTTCTTAGAGGAAATGCAGACCGCAGAGCCGTTACTGGAAAAAACAATGACCGATTGGGAAGAGAAAAGCAATGCAGGAAAAAAGGAGAGGCTTTTGGTGAGCGGCAAATGGAGGGCTCCTTATGATGTGCGGCGGCAGCACGAGGTTCAATCCCTGCGCCACTTGGGGGGTATTCACCACGAAACGGGCCGTTGGGCGGCGGACACGACCAAAAAAGTGCAGGTTGGCAACACACTGGCGCGATCAATAGCGAAGGCCTGGGCGGTGGGCACGTCCCACGGTCGCGGCCGCGGAAGCGGCGTGTCGATTACGACGAGGTTGCACGTGATGCAAACGTGCATGGTTGCGGCCATCACTGCAGGGTGTCGTTCTCGCACATGGACTCGCCAGGATTTCGCGCGTCTACAGAGAGTGGTCAATTATGGTGTTCGCCGCTCGTTCGGAATGGACATACTTTCGATGCGGGAGCACCACATTTCGGATGCCGCCATGTACAAGGCCGCGCAATGGCGCACGGTGGAAGACACCATCACCCGCTTATCTCTCCAGTGGCTGGGACATGTTGCCCGCATGCCCGTGTGGCGGGTCCCGAAGCAGGTATTATTTGGCTGGTTGGACGCCAGACGTGGCGGGGAGGACCATAGCAGCCCTCACGCCCAGACCGTTTTCCTTCGGAAGGGCATTCGCAGGATTGAGATCCACGAGATCGATTGGTTCCGCCGGGCTCAAAATAGGAAGGGCTGGAAGCGCAAAGTGGATGCAGCTTTTCCAGCGGGTGTCTCCAGCGATGAGCACAACCGCGCCCTCAACA